CATTTTCTCATGCCTTGGACAATACACTTACTTAAAATTTATTTTTCACATGTTTTTGTGATTTTTAAAGAGAAACCTCATTATAGGAAGAATATATATATGAGTCAAAATAGGTGTTAGGAACTGTGCTTTACAGCCTTATTTTTGTTCTAATTGTTCAGTAAGACCTCTTCCACTAACAAGCTTATTTTAAAATATGTAACTAGTGACAAGTTGTTGCCTCCATATCACCTAAAAATTAGTTGGAGGGTGAGAATTTAAGTAAAAGAGCTATTTTCTCTTGCCTCATTAGGTAACATTATTATACAGAGAAATAGCTGTACCAAAAAGGACACCTAATTAAAGTTCTACCTTCCAATGTCAGAAGTATACTAAAGTATACTTCTGACATTTTTAATAAGAAATTTGTAGCAACTAAAGTCACTTTATGGCTGGTAGAAAAGTGCATTTCATGATAAAATTCAGAGTGAAAATTCAGAAATATTTGATGTTTTCTAATCAATAAGTTTAGGGTTCTGCCTCTTAATGCTGAATACATGTTATTGTGCAGTTCTGACTTTAATTGGTACAAAGCAACGTGCAAATGTAATTTAATATCTAGCTGGAACCATGCATCATGTAGTAAAGCTAACCAGAAAAGGAAATGAATTGGTTTTGTTTTTTTTATTATTTTGTCATTAAATTCTGAATATTAGTATTGCATATAATTTGATGAAGTTTCTAATGGTTTGGTAGAAAAAGGTTTAATACTGACTGGAAGGCAAATCAGAAAAAGAGAACTGAAAGGTCCACTGAGCCCAGCAGCTGAATAACCAGGGAGTTTGGGGGCCCAGAGTGATCCTGGAAGCCACATAGCAAAGTACCAGCAGCTGGAAAAACGGGTTTTGTCAGAATGAATATTTCTATCAATCTTACTGACTGTAACAATTTAATATCACAAATACAAATTTAATATTAGAATTATTTGATCATAAAATGCGAAATAAAGTATTCGTTGATATAAAAACTAGTCTTTCCTTTTTTAACACAAACAAGAAGGAATACAATCAGAATCATCAAGATTGAAAAAGACCTCCAAGATCATTCAGTCCAACCTCAGAAGGGAGTTGGAGAGCTGAGGTTTCCTTTCCGTGTCTTCTGCCTACACTCTAACCTTTGCAGACCAGAACACTTTTAATTTTTCTGCTGGGTTGATGAACACATTGATTCTTTCACAGAATGGCACTTTAGTAATATGAATGGTAGATAGAAGACATAAATGAATACATATATTTGTATTAAAACTGCCTCTCTATACATGTCATGTTGTATCGAAAGTGATGAACTAAATGACATTTTTGGATCCCTTCCCCTTTGTCTGAAACAAGGATTAAACCGATATGTTCAGTTTCCTGTTGTCATGGTTTGAGATAGCCGAAAATCCAATTCCCTAGCTCCATCCCCCCTCCCACATCTCAACCCAATGTGAGATGGGTTTTTCCAGACAAAACACAACCAGACTCAAAGTGGGGGAAAGGGAATATATTACAATGACTGTACAAATAAATATCCTAATACATTATACACAAAATCACAACTATCTCTACCATGACATACAGTAAAAAAAAGTGTTGTAACTTCTTAATTTGCAATATCTGGTTTAAAAATAAATAAATAAATCAAGAGAGACTGTAAGTAGCAATTCTGACTGATTTTTGCATATTTTGCATTAGGGATGGTATTAATGGCTTGAGCCTGTCAGAGAACTACAGGGACTATCTAGATTTTTAAACCCCAAATACCAACTAATATGAAACCACTGTTCCTTGGAGTGATGTTTTTACAGGCCCATGGAGAAATGTGTGGCAATTCTGTGAGGCTGAAGTGAGGGGGTACAGCAAAAAAGAGGTACTAATATAAGAACTAATACTAATACAATACTACCTAATCCATTTATCATGTCCTGCTGCAATCTCATAGTCCTATTTTTTTCTTTCTAGGATCTAGAATTTTGAGTCAATTTCATAAGGTTAAAGAACTTAGATTCTCTATGTTCTCCGACTGAAATGCATTAGATGAGTTAATGTGTCTCCATAGTATAAAATAAATTTTTTTGCAAGCATTTGAAGGAGTTTTTATAGCCTGTGGTAACCGCCAAGCATATTGTCATTTATATTAGTGCCTGAGGGAAAGAGGGTGCTAGAAAAGTTTCAGAAATTTGGAAAGTGTTCTTAAACATATTCTGTTTTCAGATAGAGTGGTTGTGAAAAGATCAAAAGAACACTACCTCCAAACTATTATTCTTTCAAAAATCTTCCTCACAAAATAATACCTACATAGGCTTATTAGTTATTTATTTAAGGAAGGTTTGGGTTTTTTTCCCACTTAAAAAAAACACTTCAAAATTAGTTGCTTTGTTATGAATACAGTTTATCACAAAATAGAAGAGGAATCCTTTATGTCTGAACATAAAATGGTATACTTGTTGTCTAGTATTTTATTCTAACTACAGGAAAAGCTTTGTTTAGAAATAAATGGAAGGACATAGATAATCCTGAAGATGTGACTTATCTTTCTGATTTTGGTGAGAAATATATCTTGGATTACTGGCTTGATGGAAGAATTTTTTATATGTAGCTTATTCATCTTCTTTCTAACATGACATCTCATCTAAAAATAAAAGTTAAAGAAAAAAATACACAACAAAAAAAAAACAACCAACCAAACCAACAAGAACTTAAATACAAATATTCCTAATGAACAAGTCAAGATGAAAGACTACATTAATTGGAGCAATCTCCTGATGTTAAAAATAAAATAAAACAAAACAAAACAACCCAGTAAAAAGTCATGTAATTTTGTATACTGAGTCTAGTGACTCAGAGTTAATGTTCTTTGTAGAAGCCCATATGATGCTGTAGTTTGGATTTGTGACTAAATCAGAGTTGATAAAGTTTTGGCTACTGCTGAGCTGGGTTTGCACAACAATCAAGGTTTTCTTTTCCTCCTCTTCTGTCCCCATAGACCAGGCATAGGCAAGATACTGGGAAGGGTCAAAACCTAAACAACTGACACAAATTGACCAAAAGAATATTTCATACCATATAACTTCCTGGTCAGCAATAAAAGATGAGGAGAAGGGCTGAGACAAGTAGTCATTGCTTGGAGACCAGTTTGATTATCTCTTTGTGCAATATGGTGAATTATTGCCTTTGCATCACTTGTTTTTTTTTTTTTTTTTCTTTTTTCTCATCTCTTCACTTATTAAACTGTCTTTTGAAGAGTCTTTATTTTGGCCCAGGAGACTTCTTACTTTTTCTCTTCCTGTTCTCTCCGCTTTATGCTGTTGGGGGCAGAGAAGGGAGGGAGTGAGCAGCTGTGTGGTGCTTGGCTGCTAGGTGGGTTCAATCCACCACAGTTCCCTTCTCTTCTTGTACTTTTAATAACTGATTTCAAAGTCACTCAAGTGATGGAATATTTCTTTTTTCTTTATACCCTGAATGTAGAAAATTACTTACTCTTGAAAAATAGATGTCAGTATTGTAGTTTCAAAGAGTGGTCTGCATAACCTAAACTCTCTTATTCCGTATCTTGAATGTGAAAGTCACAGGGCACAATCCTTTCCCTGGTGCCAAGAACAAGGTTCTGCCTAGCCCGTGTAATGGATTGACCCTGACTGGATGCCAGGTACCCACTAACGCTGCACTCTCACTCCCCTCTACAACTGGACAGAGAAGAGAAGAGAAAAAAAAAACCAGTGAAGGATTCATGAGTTAAGAGCTGGGAGAGATTTAGTGATCACCATCACGGACAAAACAGACTGAAAGAGGGGATATTAATTGAATATATTACAAACCGGATCAGAGCAAAAGAGTGAGAAGTAAAATAATCTTAAAAACACCTTCCCCCACCTCTCCTTCCTTCAAAGTTCTACCTCCTCCCCTGCCATGGTGCAAAGAGACAGGGCATGAGGATTATGGCAGTTGTTTCTGCCACTGCTCAGGGACAGGAGTCTATCCCCTGCTCCCATGGGGTCCCTCTCACAGGAGACAGTCCTTGATGGACCTCTCCAGTGTGAGTCTGTCCCACAGGCAGCAGTTCTTCCCAAGCTGCTGGCCCGTGGGTCACTCCTCCATGGCGTGCAGTCCTTCACCAATGAGCTGTACCAGTGAGGGTCCCCCACAGAGGCCACAAATCCTACCTGGGAAAAACCTACTCCAGTATGGGCTTCCCTCTCCATGGGCTGCAGGACCCTGCTCCATCTTGGGCCTCCCACGGGGTCACAGCCTCCTTCGGATATATACCTGCTCCAGCATGGGCTCCTCCATGGGCTGCAGGTGGGTCTCTGTACCCCGATGGTCCTCCATGGGCTGCAGGGGCACAGCTGCTACACCATGATCTGCACCACAGGCTGCAGGGACACAGCTCCACCTCCTTCTGCACTGACCTCGGTGTCTACATTGTTGTTCCCATGTTCTCACTCTGCTCTTCCCTGGCTGGAATTCTTCCTGCACCACAACCTTCTGTTCTTAAATATGTTATCTCAGAGGCATCACTGTTACTCCTAATTGGCTTGGCCTTGGCCAGTGACGGGAAACCCATTCTGGAGCTGACTGGCATTGGCTGCACAGAACTGGGGAAGCTTCTAGCAGCTTCTAGCAGAAGTCACCCCTGTAGCCACCCCCGCTACGAAAACCCAGCCACAGAAAACCACTATACCCGTTATCCAACCTGGATAGACACAAATCCTTTCTAACCTGAGTGCCATTGTAGTTGCATCTTGACAGTACTGTGTCTGACCAATAACATGATTGTGTGGTTTTGTAGCACTCATTTGTATCCCATCATTTGGTCATGCATAGTGGACAGCTTTGACTATTCATGCTTGTTAAAACTCTACTAACTGATAAATAAAAAGTTCTGTAGGGGGCATGTCAGTGAATACTATTTTGAATATAAAGGTTTTCCTGATAATTTTTAAATCTTTTAATAATCATCTTTATTTGTTTGTTTTTATTCAGACTGTCTGGAATGAATATACCTCCTCCAGTTATCAGCAACAAAAACTGGCTCAGACTACATTTTGTAACAGACAGCAATCACCGATACCGTGGATTTAGTGCTCACTACCAAGGTACCTTTAAAGAAATACATTTTTTGTTGTGGCTGTTTTTGTTAGGATAAATAGTGCCTGATGTTTTAGAGGGAATGGGAAGTGCCCCTTATAAAAAATCCTCATAAAGGTATACTTTGCTGTACAACCTGCTATATCAAATTATAGTATGTTAGAGTATGGGTATTTTATTATCAGGAGATATCTGCTTTACTTTAGCCTGTGACAGTACTTAGCTTTTAAAAAAGGTCCTAATATTCTGAAAAATACTGTGTAACAAATACAGAAATCATGGGTTTATAATTAAATTATGTAATTGACTCTATAGTTGTATAAATTATGTTTGTAAAACAGTAAGTTTCTATTTACTAATGTAGTATTTAGTCACTATTATCTCTTACTGCCTATTTCTGAATGCTTTGCGCTATAAAAGGTTTAATTAACTTGTAAGATTCTACCCACTGTTTTTATGAACAAGCAGTATTTTGAGTAAGAGTGAAATCATCTGAAGCATTAATTTGAGGATATCACCATTTGGAACAAGGTCATTCTGTTGATGAAGTGCTAATGAAAACTGAACTTCATTAGTGTATGGGAATACTGTAAATAATATTTTTCAATATCCACAGTGTACCAGTGGGCCTTCAGGGGACAGCAACCCTTTTTGTGTTTTTTCCATTTATCTGATGAAAAAAAAAATCATGGCATTCTTGTCAGGATTTAGTTCAAGAATTTAATTTATTTCTTATAGAAAATTTAGCATAGGAAGAGATTAGCTACAAAAAGTGGAGTGCAGAATCTGATAAAATTAGTCAACTAATGTAAAAATTGCAATTAACAAAAGCCTATGACTGCTTTTTTCATGAAATTGATCTTTGATAATAGTAAATTTTACAACTCTGTCATTGTCTCAAATAGCCTATTTTATACAAGAACAGAAAATATTTGATTACTATTTTCAACAAATATCGTATATCTCTATTTGGACTTCCTGATTCATAGATCTTCTGAAATATGCATTCTCTGTGAGTTTACATGAAAGAAGCTTTCTTACTGAAGCTCCAGGGCTGCTACAGCTGTTTATGAAAAGCACTGACTTGTTTTTTGCATGATATCTTTCATATCAAATATGATAAATCACACTCTTTACTAGGAAATTTCTATTTTACAGGACTGTTAAAAAATAGACAGTAGGAACTTTCTCTACTAAATCTACCCCGCAACTGAGAAATTGCATGATAACTATTTTGGTGGTTTGAGTGAAGTAGTTTGGATTGTCGAGCTGTTCATTTTGAACTAGTGAGAAAAAAAAGAACAAACTATGTCTCAGATGGCACATATACATGCATTCCTGCTGAAAGTGTGAGGTAATACGTAATGAAAGAGAACAGACTTTCAAAAATGTGTTTTATGCAAGACACATAAAACCTGTGAGTTGGTAGGTGTAGGAGATTTGAATATACTGTGTGTCTTCTATTTCTCTTTACTACCTATGAATGTAGTGATTACATAAAGGGGTTTTTACTATTGTTTTGCTTTGCTCATTTAATTTTTAATGTTATATTGCTGAATGTATATTACTAAGTTGTCAAATGATTCAGAAGCCCACCATATGTAAAATTAAAGGAATGTCTTTTGCAACTCTCTAAAAAAAACATAGGCAGGAAAAATAATCAGCATGTTAAGTCATTAAGTGTGCGTACTTAAGCCTGTATGATCAATAAAAAATAACCTTAATAGTAGAAATGTAAAAATGCATGGTCAGGTAGTAGGGATGAGTAGTTTCTGGGTCAATGGTAGACTAAAGGAGAGACTGTGATGAAATTAAATAAATATCATAGAATCATAAAATGGTTTGGGTTGGAAGAGACCTTAAAGATCATCTAGTTCCAAGCCCCCTGCCATGGGCGGGGAACCTCTCACTAGACCAGGTTGCTCAAATCCTGCCATGAACACTTCTAAGGATGGGATATATTAAAAATCTTTAATACCTTTAAAAAACAAACAAAAATATATAGTACAAAGTATTTCAATTTGTTAAGAAATGAAACCTTACCTTTTTTCAGTTAGAGACAACTTTAGCCTTCTTATAAAGACCGTTTTCAAACATTAACCTCACTGCTATGCTGGCATGAGTTTTCAGAAAACCAAATACCTGATAAAAATCCAAAAGAGATTCACAAAAAGCCACATAGTACAGGTGCCTCTTTTTCTTTCTCCATCACTTTTGGGAGGGTGTCTGTTAATCCTTTCAATAGCCTGTATTGTCACTGTATTACACAGTAATAACTGTAACTTATTTCTGAGTTCCCTCCTTGAAACTTAATATTTCCTACATAGTACCATTGTAACCAGAATTACTAATTTCTTACTGTTTCCTCTACTTTAATTTTCTTTAACCTAGAACATTTTGAAGGGGCCAGGTACCAAATTCGGAACTTCAGAACAGTGCATGATTTTATTCTGTAGCTCCATGGCATTTCATACCTTTTTCACCTAATTACTCTCTTGGCTTGCTGATTTTATTTTCACAAGTAGGCATTTTGTGCTAGTATATTTGGGTCATGGTTTAATCCTGAGTAACAGTGAAGCCATCCCACTGCCACTCACTCACTCCACCCCCACAGTAGAAGAGGACAGAAAATAAGAACAAGAGTAAAAAAAGTACATGTTTGAAAGGAAGGATGTGGAAGATCAATCATCAATTACTCTCCTGGGTAAAACAGTCATATTATAAAACTGACTGGGGTTTTAGAAAACAAAAACAAATAGGAAAACAAATACAAAAAACACCCTGCCTCTCCTCTTTTGTAGGCTTAACTTCATTCCAGGCACTTCTTCCCCTTCTTCTATCTACTCCATCACAGATTGCAGTTTGTCTCTGATGGTGGGCAGTGCAGGAGGTTCAGGTCAAGGTGTAGGAGTTAATTTCTGCTACTCCTTATTTCTTACTCCTTTCTTTTTTCATTTATTTCTTCTTGATGTTCACTGACCCTGGACCACAGTCTCTTAGGGAAAGAACCTGTTCCAGTGTGGGTTATCCATGGGCTCCAGTCCCTAGAGAGTTTTACTAACTCTGGAATGGAGCACTCATGCTCTGACCTTGTTCCTTTTCTTCAGTGTTTGTTACCTTATCTTAAATACATCTTCACAGAGAAACCACAAATTCTACTGGTCGGCTCAGTTGTGTCCTGGGGTGGGTCCATTGTGGAACCAGATGTGATAAGCATGGGACAGTTCCATGCTACCTGAGGGCAGAAGGCACATGTGCAGCCCCTTCGCCCCCCTACTTCCAAACCTCTGGCGTTTATACTAATTACAGTCTTATTCCTTTCTGTTCTCTTAAGTTTATGAAAGCTGTTTTTTTAAGATTCTTTTTCATAAGGCAGCCTCATATCAGTGTAATATATGAAGCTACTGTAGCCTAGATGTTTGAAAAGGAGACTAAAAGTGACGTAATGCAAAGTCAAAATATAGTTGCCTATGAAAAAAAGAAAACAAATCCACAACAGAAAACCTAGTAAATTTTTGTAATTTTTTGTAAACACCCTTTTAGTTTAAATAATTACCATATTTTCCTAATTTTCTGTTTAAGACCTTGCAAACAGGCAAAGGCCTGTTCAGGCCTTTGAAAATTTTAAAATTGATTTATACAGAACAAATGAAACCTACTGAGATACATGAAACTGTGGGAAACTCTCAGCTTCATATAAGAATATGGTAATGAAAGTTATGTGTATTACTTTCTTTTAATAGAAATTTTATATTCATGAAAGATAATGATTTATACAATATTTAAAAGACACTGGTAAACAATAATCAAAGTCATATGTGTCAATTAGAAGAGAATCAAAATGTTTCCCTACCCAAGACACACTTATTCTTGCTTGTCTGGTCATCTGTGTTTCAGCACATCTTTCTATTCACTGAGGGTTCTTTGTCTTGATGTTTTCTCTTCTCCTTCCTTTGTTAAAACTCTCTTTGAATCAGAAACTGTTGGCTGAAGTAGAACAAAAGCTTCTTTGGATCCTCCTGAAGCAGTCGCTTCAATGTTTCTTGGCAATGGTAATCCTCTTTTGCTGTTTCTAAAATTAGTTGAGCTTTTTTACTCCATCCATTTGCAGTTTCTTTTGGTCACTGCTTTCTGTTGGCTACTTTTTGCACTCTATCTCTTATGTATGAATCCATAATATTATCTAAGTGGACAGAAGGGATTAAGTTAGCCTCACAGCATCTGCTCTTACAGACTGGCATACACAAACTTGAACCTTCTTTATATCAGGCATACCCAGATTCTGAAAGGGCTTTCAGAAAAAAGCAAAAACAAAGCAACTTCAATATCTGATAGTTAAATATTACTTTAAACATCTATAACTTTGCTATCTTTTCAGATCCCACATCCTTTTCCTCTCACTCTCTCTCTACATTCCTCCTCCTTTAAAGTTCTGGAAGGTTTCAATAATAGCCTTACCGTTGCTATTTATTTCACTTGTGAAATCCATTTCTAAACTGATTTTGCTTCCTTCTCCTGTTCATTTGCTTCTGTTTAAGCCACATGAAAACTAGTACCTCCACTATGAAGAAAATAGTATAAAATATGTAAAAAATGTAAATTGAGTGCACAACTACATTTGCCTGCCATTAGGAATTTTTGCTTATAGGAAAATACAGAAGAAGAGCTGAAATATATCCATCAGATTTTCAGAATAAAATAAAATTTAATTGTCATGCTCATGTTTAAAAGTGTGCAAATGGTTACTCTTCTTAATACTTGACAACCAGCTATATAGAGCTGAGGTTGGATAAATGCAAGAGCTTTGAATGTGGGATGCTGCAATATGGAGAAAAAATGTTGAAAAGTTTCCTCTTGCTCTGCTTGATTTTCTGTTGTTATTTTCTTTCTCTTTTAGTTATTTTGTACTTGAATAGAAATATATTTTCATTCAGAAATTATTTATGGAGTTAGACTTCTCAATTTTTTTTGTTGGTTTTGCTTTGAGAAAGAATTTGGAGCAATTGGC